GGAGACCTGAAAGAAGCTCCTGGTTCCTGACTTCGGATTGGCTCAGCTCTGGCTATTGTGACTAACTGGGGAGTGAACCAGCGAGTTTTAAAATCTTTTAAAAACTAAAAGCATGGGCTCCATAACAGAATCAACCTGAGATACTTCCTGGAGTCAGCTCTTACGACAAGAGGAAGCTGGTCAATCCTCAGACTTCAGCTTTCTGCATGGCGACATCAGGCTAAGGGACTCACTGAGCAACTGTATCCCCAAAGGGACTTCAAAAGGTCATGGAAAATGGAATCAAAAGATAAGTTCATTTATTGCAAAAACTCCCCACTGAAATCCATGCATAGTTTTTTTCATAAGTATTGTCCATTAACTTCACAAAGATCTTGATGAATTCGAAGAAGGCATATGAGATACATAACACAATGTCTGCTCTGAATGGGTAATCAGTAATTGTTACTTGCTATCGCTGTGGGGAAACTTCTTCATTCATTCTACAAACAGGAACCACATGCCAGGCATAGCTCCAGGTACTGGGGACACAGCCACAACAGGAAGCAGTCCCTGCCTCCTCGGCATCATGGAACTGGTGCTCCGAGCTGATGGCACGGAGCAGGTGGCGAATAGTGCAGTGCTCCTTACCACCCCCAACCAACAGCAAAGGCCTAGGTCAGACAGGAATTCCTTCCACCTGGGGGAACAGGAAGCCTCCAGACACAGGGAGGGGCAGCTACAACTGCGCACTTAATGAAGGGAAGCATTACAACCTGCAGAGGGCACCAAAGCTTCAAGGCCAGGCTCACGGAGCGGGCAGCTGGGCAGGTGTGAATGAGCAGCTGGTGAAGCAGGGGCAAGCCTCACAGGCAAAGGAAGCAGCGACTCAGGGCTGTGTGTCTGGGGCTGCAAGAGGGGGAGGGCAGCCCCTGCTTTCAGGCAAAACCCTGCTCTATCTGCCGTGTTTGTTTACAGCTCAAAGCAATGGACTTTGCTGATTTTGGGAACTCAAACAAGCCCACAGCTTTCACTCTTATTTATTCTGGACAAACACTGAGGCTGGTCCATGTGAGGTCCAGTGAACAGAACCTTTTTGACCACTTTAGAAAGTGTGGGTCTTCAAGCAATGGGCTGAGATTTTAGCTACGACGCAACAAAGGGTGGGGAGTACTGTTCTAATTTCACACATCACACTCCTTGAGAAGTGGTGGCTCCATGATGATTTGCTTGCCTCATTGGCACTCAAGTTCTAGTTCTTCTGTGAATCCCATGGAAAACAAATAGCACGACTCTTTAAAAACCTAGGGTTTCTAGGCAGGGACTATGTAGACCTAATCTGTCCTCTTAGTTGCTGCAGCCACACAGAAAAGAGTACTTGAACCTCAGGATCATGGACAAGAGGCAAGGCTATCTAATGATCTAGTGATCTAGTGATTCGTCCTTTCCTAGGAAAAGAACAATCATCAGTACATGTAAGTGAGGCATGGAGGAAGATCTGGGGCGCCCAGAAACATCTCCCCAAGATCTCCTTCCAGAGCAGGACGAACAGGAACAATGAAGAAAGAGTCCTCAAGGCCCACTGTACTGTTTGACCTCCAAAAGTCTACCTGGAGCCAATGGCAAAGCTTCATAGGGGCACGGACTCCAGTTCTAACTCCACCTGGACACATGAAGACAGGCAAGCGATTTAGCAGCTCTGAGCTTCAGCTTCCCTTTAGGAAAAACTGAAAATGACACTAACAGTAATGTCCCTTTCGGGAGGCAGAACAAGGGCTGTTTTGCACCCTGCCTGTTCCTACCCTCTTCAGCCACAGCTAAGCCTGGCCTAAATTTGCACAAGTCTTGCCAGATTCTCCCACCTGTGTGAGCTCTGCTCAACTACCACCACCTTTATAGCCTGTGATTCTGGACTTGATTGCATAGTGGGTAGTGTCACCTGGTATCACTGCGTGTGTGTTTATTTTGGTTCTAAACTACAATAAAACCTTGATCTCAACAAAAACTGTATTTTGTCATTTGGTTACTGCCTTTAAAAAGCACAAGTCTTTAAAGACCTGTACTTGTTTTTTTAATCAACCAGTTATCACCTTTTTGAGAAAAAGCACCTGCTCAAGCATAGATTTATTAGATGAGACCTTGAATCCATTCAATTGCCCTTTAACTGGGTACAAAGTCATTTTTTTTTCTATTTTCCAGAAGTTTTCTAGATTCTGACAGAGTTTGATGAAGGTGTGAAGGTCTAAGGCAAAGACTGCCTGGTTGGCAGTTTTCTAATGACTATGCCTTCCACCACCATCATGTTCTGATTCCATCAGAGAAAAGCAGGCAATCTTGAAAGTCACAGTAAAACCAAGAAGAAGGGTGGCCATGCATACATCTGACTACATGGGAATACTCAAGAACAATGAGTTAAATGATATCTGCTTTGTGGTTGCCTGCCACAATGCTGGCATCCCATAGCAGGGTGCTGGTCTGAATCCCAGCTGCTCCATTTCTGATCCAGCTTCCTATTAATGTGCCTGGGAAGACAGCAGAAGATAGCCTAAGTATTTGGGCTCCTGCCATTTCTACGGGAGATGGAGTTCCAAGGTTCTGGCTTCAGCCTGGCCTGGAGGTGGTTGTTGCAGGCATTTGGGGAGTAAACCAGGCAATAAAAGATGGATCAATTGATTGATCTATCTAGCTACCTACCAATCTATCTCTATCCACCCTTTTTCTCTGTTGCTCTGCCTTTCAAATCCATCAGTCATTAAAAATGGGTTTGACAACTTGGCCAAAGACGACATGATGACTGTTTCATTCCTCCCTTTTTCTAACCACACAAGATGACCCTCAAAAAAAAAAAAAAACACAGGAACAAAAGGAATACAGCCTACTAGATCTGCTTTGGGGAACTAGTTTCCCAAAGAACAAGACAGAGATGAGTTGGTTTCCCCCAAAGCATGTTATTCATGTCTCAAAATAAGACGCATGTCTCATGGCAAGGTACAGTTATTTTAGTGAGGCAGGATGAGGATCTTGTAAGGGAAACAAAAATGAATACATGAGTGTGTGGGAACAGGAAGTAAAATAAGCAGTGACTTGCCATCTGCCTGCCGGCATAGATGTCCTCACATCCCACCGCCTGACTGTTGGTTCCATTTTTGGTTTGTTTTCTCCTCCAGTGTTTTAAGAGATGACAGATAGGTTAGGAAGACAAGAGAGGGATAAACGGGCTTCCATTCACTAAGCCTGTACTATGCATGTGGTGCTTTCTTCCTAGGACTTTCGTGAATTCCCACTATGACCTATAACGTAGGTGCTGTTAACATTATTGTACAGGCAAGAAGACTGAGTCAGAGATGGGACAAAACGACCTTACTCAAAATCAGCAATAAACCAGGTCAGGGAGTGAATGGAGTTTGATTCTCACTCACTCCACTCTCACAGTGTCTCCCACCCAGTGAAGCAGGTTGGATCTCTAAGCAGCAGAGGTACCTTGAGACTCATGAGATACAAAACTTCAGCTTTGGGTGTCTACCAAGTGTTCGTGGGTGGGAAAGGGCAAGGAAAAAGAAGACATGAGGATGCACAGTCTTAAATAACAGCACGTCCTCACCTTCTTGCTTCAAGTGAGTAAGAAAAGGAATGTCAGCACAATGTGGCAAAAGTGGCTCAACCGTTTCCATCCCAGTCATCACAATCCAGAATCCTCCATGTTACATAAGGACAGAGGCAGAGGAGTAGAACAAGAGAGGGTTGAGAAAGTCAGGATGAGGTGGGGCAAAGCCGCTCTTCTACCCCTCTAGGAGTTGTATGACCTTGGGTGAGAGTGAACCTCTGTGTAAAATGTTAGAGTCTTCATTGGGGGAAGAGGGGGAACCACAGTCCCACCTCATGGCTTTGCTCTGAGGATTAAATGAGCTGCTTCAGGAACTGCCCAGGACAGAGAAAAACCTAAGAACCTAACTACTCACTAGAGTCTTTCAGGTGATTTGGAACATGTGTGGGAACATAGGATGAAAAGATGTTTATTTTGGTGCAACACATATTTTCGACAAGCATTTTGAAGCCCGGCCTCCTCTTCATATGAATGGATTTCTAAATTTTGTGCTTAGGTAAAATTCTTCATTTCAGTTTTTTTTTCTCGCAGCACAGACATTTGGCCCGGCAGTTGGAACACATGTTAAGAGGCCCACATCCCATCTCACAGTGCTCATTTTTGACTCCCAGCTCTGGTTCCTGCTTCCTGCCTATGTGGATCTCAGGAGACAGTAACGATACTTCAAAAGTCATTCAGTCAGCTGAGTGGCCTTGATGGAGAGCCCAGCTGCCAGTACTGGAAGGGCACAGTTCTAACCATAGTAGGCATCTGGACAGTGAATCAGCAGATGGGAACGCTTTCTGTCCTTCCATTCATCTTTCTCTTGAAAAATAAATAGATGAGTGAACCAATGAATGAATAAATCTAGTTTGTCATCAACACCCTCATTCATTATTAAATGCAATAAGATGATGAATGCAAATATATATTGCACAATCAACCATAAATTTTAGGTGTATTCCAAAAGTCCTTAGGAAATGTAATGAAAAGATAATGCCAAATTTCTCCTGAGCTTCTGGAAGGTCACTCCTCTTAATCCTCGCTTTGGCACACAAACCTTCAGAGGCACCTGAACCAGCCATCCTGAGGGTTGGCTTTGTGTCCATGGACTCACCGAACCAGTTCTGCTTCCAAGTTTCTGAATGAACAGTAACAGAACCATGAGCACAGAGGACCTGGTGGTGGCAGGGATAGCTGCTGGCCTTCAACTATGACCACTGCATTACCTGAAGCACTAACTGTGCAAACTTTTCAGGGCTGATGTTCCCAAGAACTGTGTCACCATCTACTGTGAACATTCTGAAACGGTTGCTCATGTTATCGCATCATACTTTCTGAACACAGGGACAACTCAGCCCCCTGCGCCACCTGAGACTGTTTCAACCATGGCTCAGGCACCAGTAAAGAGAATAGAATCCAAGAGAACATGACTTACCGAGCCAACTTCTGTTTAAGTATACAGACACAAACACTGGGGGGACTGTGAAGAAATCTACAACAGAGTTCACTTCCAGCCAGAACCACAGCTTATCATTGGCTGCGATAAACTGCAAGAAAGAAGAAATAAAAGTAATTTTTAAAAAATGAGAACCAGGGTGCCAACATTTAATTGACACTGTCTCACCCAAGGACAAATTCTGAGTTTCCATTAGGATGCAGAGGAAAATGTTTTGTGCTTCCCATATCACATACTCCTTTTCTTTTTTTTTTTTCTTTCTTGCTTCATTCCTTCCTTCTTTCTTTCCTTCCTTCTTCCTTTTTTTCTTGATACCTGGCCTCTTTAAGTTAGCCTGGAGTAAGCTCAGTTGTTACATTTTTCTATGATTTTCTATAGCCTCATATGAAGCTTATGATCTCACAGTTATTAGAATGTAATCTCCCATTCATTAGAATCTATAATGTAAATATACTTGACTGCAAAGCATTTATGTATACATCCATGCATACAAACACATATATATGCAGATCAGTGTAATCATGTTTTATAAACAGGATGTAGCATGAATCCGCCAAGCTTCATATTCTGCCACTTTCCCTGATTAACCCTCACAATTGATATCTTAGCCAAATGATCATTGCTTTTGCTCTTGAACTTCGTTTATTAGGGGAACAATGTGTCCGCATCTTGCAACTGGGGAGAAACAGTTGGGCAGTGGAGATATCATCTTTATTTTCACCCCTTTCTTCTCATTGAAACATAATTAACCATGTATTCCAGAAAGCACTTCTCTAAGGAAAAGACTCTCCCAAAGTGAAACTTAGAATGCAGGTTTGTTGTCACTTCTGGAAACCCTGGACTGCACCTTGCATGAGAGAGTAGAGACTGACAGAGGGAGATCTGAGTCCACGTTTCACATGCCCCCTTCTGACACTAAGCCAAGCTGCTCCAACTTACCCGCAAGCCAAAGTAGAGGAGGAAGAACACGTTGAAAGCCATGTCGATCTGTAATGTGAAATCTTTGTAGAAATTCTGGCAGGATTCTATTGGGCTATTAGATGGGAAGAAGAAAAAGAAAGTGATGAGTGAGAAGCATCGTCACATCTTCTGCTGCTGAGAGACGGTGGTTCGCAGGTAGGAGATGGAATGAATGTTCATAAAACATCTGGTCTTTTTCCCCCCTGGTATAATCAAGCAAGCATCATCAAGGGGTGATTCCATTCAACCATTCAGTATTTTCTTCTTTTATTTTCTATTTTGTAGTTACACTTAAGATTGTTGTTCTCTTCATTCAATAGGTGAGCTAAGAATCTAAAGAGGATCATGCAGTTCTTGAAGGAAGAACGAGCAGGAGGGACAGGGATGACCCAATCCCTTGATTTGTATTAACCCTTAAAGAACTGACTTCTTTCACAGAGTATTTATTAGAGCTAAAAGACGTTTACTTCCTTCAACACATCAAAGTGGAGCCCATTTCCAATTAAACACAGTGGCTGTCCTTTAGAGCTTTTTAAAGACAGTGGTTGGGTAATAAATTAAGAACCCAGGAGCATCTCAGGAAAGGTGTAAAGAGAAGATCCTGGGTGGCATTCTGGGTAGACTAAGCCTGGGCTTCCCTGTGGCACCCTGATCTGGGGAAAGAAACATTGCCTAACTGGGTAACTTGAAGATGATAAAACCAAAACTTTGAAGCAGTACTCTAAGGGTTAATTCTGTTGTTGTTTACAGCATGCATGTGAACTGGCTTTGTGTAAGAGTCAAGCAGCCACCACAGACCCCAGCACACTCTAATTTGTTCCAGAGTAGGCAGTTCCAAAAGGTACTACTATACAAACTGGTACCCGGCTTTGATGTACTTTTCTTGCATCACATTGATCGATGTGTGAAAAGCTCCAAAATTTGGACTGGGTGGGAAGCAGGAAAGCCTGCCAAGCATCTCAAAACTGTGATTGAAAAGTCATAGAGCACTCTCATCACTCAGTACATGGTAACACCCATGCCAAGAATAGCAAGGTGAGGCAAGGGAAAGGAGATGGAGTTTAGGAGAAAGCAAAATACTTTCCCCAAATGGGAAGTCACATGGACTTCCTCCCTCCAGGGCGGAGGAGAGCAAAATTAATTCCCGGGCATTACCAGTTTGAAAGTGGCTGTCTGTCAGAGCAGTCAGTATAGTTGTACCTCTGTAAAAACAATGCTTGGCTGTTCAACAGGCAGGAAGGGGTCTGTGCAGTGCCAGAAGGGGAATGGCCCATTTAGATGCCTGCTAAATTCAACTGTGGAAATCTCTGCTCGTGTTACATGCACTGGACTTATCCATTTTTCATCTCAATTACAAGTCAAACATGCCCTTTGTTATCTCCCAAAACACAAATATGTAGTAAAATGTCCAAGCAAGCATTAAGAATAGCCTACATTTGCATTTACAAACTAAGCAGACTGAACAAAAATAGCACTGATACAATTCTTTTATAGGAGAAATGACAGCTGCCAGTTTTGTTTTGTTTTGTTTTTTACTAAGATACGCAAGAGGAAAGAAAGACAATATAGAATTGAGTTAGTCCAATGTGGAACTGAGGCAGGAGCAAAAGAAGTTAAACATTACATCCTATCACAGCTCCTTGTTGGATCTCCATGCTTCAAGTTCATATGTGACACTGCTGCAATTCTCAGTCCATGGTGGAACTCTGCTTCAAGAACAAGACTTATAGGTGCACGGGTGGCAGAACTCCTAACCAGTTGCAGTGAACAGATGTATGAACTGGGTGGACCAGAAATCCTCTATAGATTCTAAGGGTTGACCAGACAATAAACATCTGTGTTGTGCTACAGGGCCTCTGTCACAATGTGCTGTGTATGTGTGTGTGCTCATGCAAAGCCCTGAGCACATGTACACACATCCACACCCATGCCCCAAACACTAGTAAGTGAGTAAGGTTAGGAAAATATGTAAGTAAATGCTGTACTTGCTTTTTCACTTCTTCCAGTAAGGACTTAGATTAATGAACACACAGTTAAGCCAGTAAGAAAAACTCTGGTTTGCAAATCTTGAAAATCCACCACTGCTTCACCAAGGACAACACCTTACTGACCTTACTGATATCTTCACAATGGTTGCTATTGGTAGAATTTTTTTTTGGAGGGGGAAGGAGGGCATCCTATGAGTTCTCTAGCTCTTATTAGTTTCATGGTCTCTGCTGAGATTCATCTAATTGGAAAAATACTTGCAAGCCTATAGTAGAGAATGAAATATTTGGGAGAGAGGTGGGAAGCCTCAATACTGAGGTTCAACATCAATGGAAATAGATATTTTAAAAAGCATAAGGAATTGGACTGTAGTAATTTCTTTCCATTGGCTGTTGCCTTCCTGGTCATGCTGGGTTTCTCTCCTAGATAGCCCATCATAAAGGCATCAACTAGGGGACCTGAAGCTAGAGGACTTGTGTTGTACAACATAGCTCAATAACGCCCTTGATTTACAGAAAACAGTGTTAAGATGATCATGAGCCTTTCCTGTGGTCCTCCTTTTGAAAAATTCAGGTATGACTGAATTGTTCCATCATTATTGATGGAATCCTAGACTTCAGGGAGAAATAGTATGATGTTGTTGAAACAAGTTGTTTTTCCTCTGGCTGAAACCACAGACTGTTACAGAAGGCAACTGATAATATGGACAGATTCAGTGGGTAGGAAACACAATACAGAGCCAGGCCCTGGGACCCAGGTAGGACCAGGTAGGATTAGGAAATATTTTTATATTTCTTTATATATCTGTTTTGCTTGCCACAAGAGCCTCAAGGAAAATATTCTGCCTGGTATTTTGAAGTGGCAGCAGAACTGTTTATCAGAATCCCCTCTGAGATAAATCCTCCAAGTGCCTATAGTTCATGGATTCAGACAATCAGAGACCACCGAGTAGAGATTCCAAAGCCCCATTATCTCATTACCCAAATGGAAACAACCCATGGAGAAGTTCAGCGATCTTTTCAAAGGCAAAAATATAAAGCCACAACCAAAGGGCTGGCCATATCAATCAGGATTTATTTTCCTCCTCGGGAGACTTGATCTTAATGATGAATGTTCACTTGAGGACAGGGAATGAAACACACATCTCTTCCTTTTTGTGCAAAGGACTGTTTCATGGTCTGGGCACACAGGAGTTTTAAGAGCTAGCAAAGGAATCATATTTTCATTGAAACTACAAAGGAAACGGCCTTTGGGTCTTACACTGTACTGTAAATGGTCATTCCAGCTTAGAGAAAGCTTTGTGTGGACCTATGTTGATAATGGGGGAAAGACATGATTTTAAGAATCTGATGGAGGATATTATTTCTGACTCTAGTCTAGAAAGTGGACTTAACCTAAACTGCTCATGTTTAATGAATGACTTAATAACTGGCAGGCTGATGGAATGTCAATTCTCAGGCTCCCAAGCTCCATGAATCAAGTGTGATACTAAAATCCTAGGTAACGTTAGTATCCTGACCCAGAATCTATGATGGAGGCACCCTCGAAAGAACCTCAACACGGGGCTGCTATCTATAAGGTTCTTCAGTGTAGGAGAGAGGTTGAGATACAAATCCTATCTCCTCTTGAACAACAAGCAAGGCTATCCTCAGGTGTTAGATGTTCTCTGTAAGTGAAGATGAGACTCATCCAGCATGGGAAACATCTTCTTTTGCAATAAAGGTCTTTAAACAGGAGGATCCCACTGCCCTTCCTGGAGATTGCCTCGTAAGCTTGCCTAAAAGCCAAAGCACAAGGCTGACAAGGGCTACCCAGAGTTTTGTTCAAAATGCAGTGGCCTTAGGACAGAATCTCACTGAGCGGACTCCAGACCTCTCCATTGCTTGTGGCAGGGAAGGGTCACCCCGACCTTCTCACTTCCTGGTGAGTCCTGAAGTCTGTTTTCCCAGCTCTCTAAGGCTGGCTCCCAACCATGGGATGCTGTTATTTCATGGACAGGTAGTTTTCAAACTTTGGCTTGTGGTTAGAGAATTTGCACAACTTTGCTGGGCAACCAACTGTAGTTTCTGCATTATAGGTCTGGAGAAAGGATCCAAGAATTTGCATTTCTAACAGTGTCCTGGACAATACCAATGGAGGCTCTCATCCAGAGAATCCACTTTGAGAACCACTGCTCCTGAAAAACTCTTGCAGCTACATGCTAATTACAGGTGTCACTACTCAGACCTGCACAGAGATGATTAAGCATTTGAGCCTGCCCCCAGATAACCAGCTGCATACCACTTAACTACTTGCTGAGATCAAGGGGTGGAACAGATATTTTCAGTTTCTGATGGGAACAAGGGGGTAAAAATTAAAAGGATACAGGGAGATAATTACAACACCATCAGGCAAGCTTCACCAGTGGCTGCTGCAATTAACAATCAGGGAGTCCATGCTGAGCACATTTTTAGCTGAAGATTAAAAAGAAAGATGATGAAGTAGAGATGGGGAGGTAGCTTCAGAGACCATGGTTTATAAGGGATAAAAAAACGTTAAGCGGCTTAGGAACAAAACAACAACAGCAGACATTTGAGATGATTTAAGAGGGAAGGGACTGGCTGAGAAACAAAATAGCACTTGGTGAAAATAATTTCCAGCATTCAAATTCTCCTCACTCTCATGGCTAGTCCCTTATTAAATTGAACGAGGCCCTTTCAATTCCCACCAGGATTATGGACCACCAGAGTCTGGGCCCATGGCACCACACACATGAGTCAATTCAATATGCCTCAAGATCCTAGATTATTCTCTTTGCCTTGCCTCTGCAATGTTGCCAGATTAATTTAATTAAAAGATGTCATTCATCCAGTATTATGACTCCCTCCTGTCTTCTACATCAGCTGTAAGTCAGGCTGTGAAGAACCTTCAGATCCTGGCCTCCCTTATATCTCCCACTTCACTGACTACTATGCTTCAACCCAACCCCTTTGCGGTATACCGTGAGCTGGCACCTTCGTAGTGTCATGCACATGCCTCACATAGCCCCAGTTCTAGATCTGGACTTTGGCAGTGGCCCTCTTCAAATGTTCTCCCATCTGCAATCAA